AATACCTTGGAAACCCTATCTATATAGGATATCTAGTAGCATGGGATCAAACTTGACAACAGCACTGCTAAAGATTGAATATAAAACTTGGGGGGTAGTGAGTTTATGCTAAGGGGAAAGGAACAAGTCAGGAAAAGGATGTGAGAATGATTGCACATCTCAAAGAAAGCGTCACTGCATTGTACATGTAGAAATTGTTGAGTTGATGTATGTTCACCTGTGTATATTCTCAACAACAACAACAAAAATAAATTATGTAAATAAAAACAGAGCTTTTGTCAAGAGCCAAACTGTCATAGAAGTGGGGAAAGGTCATTTATAGGAAGGAATTTATGAACCATCCCTGAGCTGACTGGGAAGCCCTGGAGGGACAGAGCTGACAGGAAACCCTTAATATGGAGATCATGGGGAAAGGATTCAGAATGAACTTCCAGTTTCTAGTCAAGGAAACTGGAAGGGCAAGGATACACTCAGCCCAGGTAAAGTGAGGCAAAGAGGGGCAGGTTTGGCTGGTGGGAAAGAGAACAGCCCTGGACTTAATGTGCTTACCCCCAGGACCCACACCTCCCCCATGCAGAGGTCCTGGGTGTAATTAAAGGGGTGGTAACTTCAAAGTTCAGAGGCAGGAGAGAGAAGGAGATAAGTCCCCTGATTCAGCTTGCATCTCTCAGACAGATCTCAGAGACCCAGAGGGACTCACCTGTTAGAGCAAACACTCTTGAAGACCCAAGAACCATGATGAACTTCTGTGAGTACCCCAAAGGGCCCTCTCTCATCTTCTCTGTTATTCTGCTCCTGACCCTAGGATGACTCTGCTTTCCAAACTAAAAACTAGAAACCTATCATCTGACAAGTGTTCTTTGGAGGAGAGGGGCAGAAGTCTTTAAAGTGGGTCATCTAGGATGTGTGGTTTTCAAATCTATTCCACATTCATTCATGAAACAAATCATCAATAAGAGTTCACTATGGAAGTGTGGCATGGGGTACAACCAGAATGTATGGGTCCCCACCCCCAGAGACAGGATTGATTAGCTCAGGTAGGTAAAGGGTGGGTGGTATGTCACTCAGGGCTGTGATCGAGAATTGATTTCATTTTGAAAATAATAAATACCTGTTCCCGACCAAGTACAAAAGTTCATCTGTATCTGTCTTCCTCTTTGTGGGATAAAAAGACTGTACTGTGATGTTTGGATAGCTCCTTCAGCACAAAGAAGTTCCTAGGTAATGTAAATGGTCTGTACTTGTTTACTGACCTAATGGTTGGTGGTTTGAACTCACCCAATAGTACTGAAGAAAAAAAGGACCCGATGATTTGCTTCCACAAAGCTTCCAGCCAAGAAACCCCTATGGAGCAGTTCTGTTTTGTGACATACAGGGTCTCTGTGAGTTGAAATAGACAGGACAGCAACAGATTTGGTTTTGGGTTTTTCAGCTGAAAGATGCTGAGTTCTGCTTTGCTCTACAACTAAGGAGGAACTCTTGGTCCTAATCAACTGGCTTGCTTAGGGCAGAGCAGCAGATAAGAGAGTCTTAGTAGCTCAGTGCAAACCACTCCCCTCTCCTGGGGAAACAGTTCAAAGCATATGTATTTTCCAAAAGGTCAAGTCGTGCATCTTCTGGTTTCTTAAAGGGCTGAACTAGATGCTGGAGTTGATCATGAGCCATACAACACTGCAGCTAAAATCTGAATTTCACAAGGGGTCAGGAGAAGGGCCAAGACTTTCATGACTTTAGGATGGATCAACTACACTTTCTCACTTAAAGTAAGAGAGAAGGGCTAACCCCCTGTTTCTGTTACTTAAAGGGAGAAGAAGTAGAGAGAAGACTTTGTTGTTGTTGTTGTTGAGTGCCATCGAGTCAGGTCCGACCCATAGCGACCCTGTACAGGGTTTCCGAGGGTGTAAATCTTTACGGGAGTAGAAAGCCTTTAGAGGTAGGGAAAAGACTGAGTTCTGAATTATGTGTGTTAGTGTCTATGTGTGTCCTAGTTACCCAGTGCTGCTGTAACAGAAATACCACAAATGGACGGCCTTAAAGAATACACCTTCATTTTTCACAGTTGAGGAGACTGGAAGTCTGAATTCAGGGTGTGGTTAGAGGATGATCCTTCTTTGTCTATTTCTAGTAGCCTCTAGTAGCCAGCAGTCCTTAGAGTTCCTGGCCTTATAGATGCATCTTCTGTGTGTGTCTGTCATCACATGGCATCTTCCCCCTGTGTGTGTCTCTGGGCCTGTTCTGCTCTGTTTTATAACTCAGAAGTGATTTAGGTTTAGAACTTACTCTACTCAGACATGGTTTCATTAGCACACAAAAAAATTCCTTATTTTCAAATATAGCGGTTAGGGTTCCAACATATATTTTGGAGGGACAAAATTCCATTTATAATAATGTGTGCATATAGTTAAGGAAATTAGACAGCTAGACATATATGTTCTAAACCTCCACATTTTCAGAGAGAAGCTGCTGAAGTAGTGAGATATTCAGGAGGTGGCCAGAGATACAGCAGATGTAAAAGGGAGGGTCAGAGAAGCACTGCTCCTAAATTGGAATCGATAATACGATGCATAGAAGGGGGCATCAAAGGAGGCACTGGGACATCTGTCCATACATCACTCTTCCCTTCTGTCTTTCTATCTCTTCATCCGTTCACCCACTCATTCATTCATTTGTCCATCCATCATTCCATTCATTTGTTTGTCCATCTGTCCATCCCTCCACCCCTTCATTCTACAGTGTGTTGAGTGCTCACTATGAGAAGGTTTTGATTTCTGGCTCGAAATGGAGAAGGTATGTGACTGACCACTGCTTTTCATGCTTTGTGCAAGAATTGAACAGATCACAGTAAGCTATTAATGGTGTTGAGTGAAGTGGGGTGAAAGAGTGAGTGCCTATACCCAAGAAAGAAAATAGAAATATAGAAGGGATTGCAGAAGGGTTGTTCCTCTACTTTTCCGTTTTTTATAATGCCACTATCCACTTCAATTACAAATAAAGGTGCTTTGATATGGGAAAATTGGCACAAATTAAATACTAATAAAAATCCTGAAATTAGGGGGGGGGTGAAATATATGAGGACATTCACATTCTTTTATGGTGAACTAGGCCACAACCAACCCCTCTTGACTTCTGCACTATGGACAGAATCACAAGGGAAGCACAGTGATGGACATTAGCTTTATAAACAATAATAAAAACAAAGATCTTTCATAAGATCCTATCAGGAAGTCTCTGAGAATAGAATCAAGGAGGTATATAGTACGCCATTCCCTGGGAGCTAGGTAGGAAATGAACAAATGGAATTCGGCACAGAGGCAAATGTTGGAAATGTGTACTCACCATCTGGCACATGTCTTAATCTCCTTGTGCCTCAGTTCTCGCTGGGAAATGAGGTTGCCGAGCTCTTATCACCTGAAAAATGAAAACTGAAAGAGCTGATATCTCCCTGGGACTGGGAAAGTTAGTAAACTATCAATGTACTTCTCAGATACTATTGACATTATCAAATTATGTTTTTATAATTTCCATTCTCACCCACACAGCTGTAGGTCAGTTTAGGTCTTTTCACTGCAAAAACCATCCTTCCAGTTGCCAAGAAATCCAACATGGGGACCCTATGTGTGTCAAATTAGACCTGTGCTCCATACAGTCTTCAATAGCTATAACCTTTCAGAAGTAAATTCCAGGCCTTTCTTCCCAGGTGAATCTAGGTGGACTCAAATTTCCAACCTTTAGGTTAGCAGTCATGTGTTTAACTGTTTGCACCACCCAGGGACTTCAAAACAACCATAGAGAGATCTAGTCTATCAACACTAACAGGGAGAGATGAAGACATTCAATGATCTATCCCTGCCTTTGGTCAGTCACTTGGTCAGCTGACCAGCCTTGAATGACTCCCTGAGTAGGAGCTGTTGGGGAGCAACACTGACACACAGGTGAGGCCAAGGCTGACAGTGACTAAGGTGCCCTCAGGCAGAAGAGGAAGGTGATCGGAAGTTTGGGGTATTGCATCCCTGGTCCAGTGACAGAGTGTCTCTTTAGAACAAACGTTAATACTAGCCTGAGTTTCCTTGACTCTCCAATCACTTGCTCAACTGCCATCTCCATAGCCATGTGCCCAGGATGGTTGGCCCTCGCACTGCTATTCCTACTGAGCCCAGGCACACAGGCCTTCAACAGCCAGCTCATCAAGTGCTTTGAGGACCCCCAGTATGAAGAGCTGGTACGGCTGGTGAGAGACGGACTAGGGCCGACTGTGGAAAGGAAGCGAGTAGTGGTGATTGGGGCAGGCATGGCTGGGCTCACTGCTGCCAAGATGCTTCAAGATGCAGGCCACCAGGTACACTGTGGGAGAGGATGGGTCAGCCCTGAGCAGGGAGGGAAAGAGCTGAGTGGGACAGACTCAGAGTTGGAGTAGCGGTTGGTATTAGGGATTTGGGCAGGGGTCGAAAAGCTATGAGATCTGGTGTTCTGACAACTAGGTTCTAAATCACATACCCAGAGGGAGACCTCGGGAAGGGCCATGGGAGATGAGTCTGCAGGGAGGGAAGAGCAGAGTGTGGAGGGGACATGGCCAACTTCATTGACTTCAGGAACTGCCCATCTTTCTAGGTAACTGTCCTGGAGGCTTCGGGGCGTGTGGGTGGCAGAATAGAAACACACAGAGTGCCAGGGGCACAGTGGTATGTGGAACTGGGTGCCATGAGAATCCCTGCCAACCACAGGTAAGGATCAGAGGAAGTAAAGGATGGATGAAGGAGTGTGTGTGACTCAGCAGAGAGGGAAAAACAGTCAACAAAGGAGGGGCAAAATCCTTTTATAGGCATTTGGGTGCTTGCCCAGGGATAAAGACCTTATACCTGGTTCCAAATCTGCCTAACTCATTCTGTGGCTCCACACCTATACCTGACCCCCACCTTTTTTAATCTCATAATGGGCACAACCATATCTATCCCACCTGGCTGGAAGGCTATTTTGAAGATCACAAAAGATAATTGGAGTGCGATAGCACCTTGAAAGGTCAAAAGTGGTCTGCTATGTAAGGGATCATTGTGATGGTTGCTAATGACAGGAATAATGAAATCCCTTTATGGGAGAAAGGTGTGGTGTCTGGGAATCATGGGCATGATTGTGGGAGACCTGGGGTTCCCACGGTGGGTATGAGGCCTCAGGTGGTTTCCAGAAAAGGGAACCCTGAGCAGGAGTCTGAAAGGACCCCATCTAGAGACACGGAACTGTTGATGTGGACCTCAGGAAGAATAAGACTTGGAGGATTCTCCCCATGGGCCCATCATACCACCTCCATACCCCAGAGTGACTGCAGTCTGAAGGCTAGGGATTTCAGGCAAAATCTCCTGTGGATGATTAAACAGGGCCAGCACAGAAGTGCAGCCTGGTGTGGTGTGTGATCAGAGAACAGCCAAGGTGCCACAAACTCTGATTCCCTCGTGGCCCAGCTGTCATTATTGTAATAACCTAGAGATGTTGGGTCCCACACTGTGGATGGATGCAGAGGGTAGTTCTAATGGCCCCAGTGAATCTTCAAGGGACAGAGATTCAGGGAGTGAGTCAGGAAAACGAGGGCCAGCAGCTTCCTGTCCTGTCCCATCAGTCTCTGGCTCCTCCTGCAGGCTCTCCCGTGAACTCATCAACAAGTTTGGACTGAAACTTGGTGAGTTCTGTCGCTCAGACCTCCAGACCTGGGTGCTGGTCAATGGGGTGCGGTGCCGAACAGGAGAGATGCATGCCAACCCACACCTGCTGGGCTACTCAGTCAGAGCCCATGAGAAAGGAAAGACAGCAGAACAACTGTTTGATCAATCACTAAGGAAGGTGAGTAAAGGCAGAGCACGGGGTGTGGCTGCTGTCCCACTGCGTGATCACTACTGCTAAGCCCTCAATGTAGCTTCAGCTTCTACAATGTGTTCTCTCATCTCTTTAAATGGGGTGAATGAGTCCCTGCTTCTGACTATGAGCTTCTCACACAGAAACCCACACCCCGTCTCAAGCACATGATCAATCCCTCACCACACTCTCAGACCCATCAAACGTCTCCACTCATTATAACACTACAACTAGCATCGGTGATTGAATTTGTACAGAAAACAAAAGAGTTGCCACTAAAACCATCAGGGCACGCCCATGTTTAAGGTGGGTAGAAACCACTCTAGATTCAAATGCTGTCCCTAGCATTTCTCACTGTGTGACCATGGGCAAACTTCACACCCTCTCTGTGCCCCTGTTTCTATAAAATAACAGTTCTTGTGAGTACTTTCACAATGTTCTGTGGGTGTTAAATGAGAGAATGTGTGCAAAGTGGTAAAAGCTGTGTCAGTGATGGTGAGGGCTGGAATTATAACATCATTATAGCTATGTGATGGAGAAAGAGAAAGTAGGCCAGGCCCTACTAGAACACGCTTTCTACCTTCTCCCTGCAGAGGATATTTACTAAAGTTTGAAAACACTTTCATTTTTCTGCCTGCTTGTCCGTGGGAACTGTGCTGACAGTCAGACTCTGTCCTTGGCTCACCAAGAAGAATTGTTCAATCCAGAACTGGACCCCCCAGCTCCAGAATCAATTAACATCTCAGTGAGACCAAGCTTTGGCCCCACACCATTCCTCATGGCCTATTTTTGCTAGTTGCAAAAAAGTCAGAGCCAGTTCTGACTTCTGACAACCCCATGTGTGTAGAGTAGAATTGTGCTCCATAAGGGTCTCAAGTCTCTGACCTTTCGGAAGTAGATCTTCAGGCCTGTCTTATAAGGTACCTTTGGGTGGGTTGGAACCCTTTCAGCTAGTAGTGTAGCACTTAACCATCTGTGCCACTCAGGGACACCTATGGACTCATTAGGTCTATAGCAGTATATCCATTCCAGTAACAAGGAGGCAGACTTCCCTGTTCCTGTCATTTCCAGTCTGGTAGAGGATCCCTAGCCCCTACTTTACCCACCTTATAGTTTGCCCACAGCAGAGGTGGAGTATCCAGCATCGCAACACTCACAGTATTAGAACCTAGAGAATTTACAAACAAGTTTCAGACACACACAGAATTCTAAGCAAGTAAATGAGCACATAGTGTCTTGAGGGGCTAACAGGCTAGTGGGTAAGGAATATGCATTGTGGGGAGCTGAATTCTGATGGACATGTCTCTTATCAGCGTATCACCTTCTCTCTTTTCCCATGCTCAGGTGGTGGAGGAACTGAAGAAAAGTAGCTGCAGCCAGGTGCTGGAGAAGTATGACTCCTTCTCCACCAAGGTCTGTTCCCTGGGACCTCTGCTTCCTCTGATGCCCATTCCCCATCCTGTCATGGCTCCCCAGTGGGACCACCAGCTGCCATCCCAGGCTTGTAGCAGGAGACAGGGATAGCTGGCCTTATACTTGTTGTTCCTGGCATGGGCACAGAAATCTTCTATCTCTATTTAAAGTCCTCCAAAGCTCAGGCACCTCAAGAATAAGAATCAAGTCCTCCATGCTTCCACTCACCTGTGCCAGACACACTGGCTTCTTTGCTGTTTCCTAACTACATCAAGGCTGTTCATGCTAGTTGGAAGCCTCTTCCCCAGATATCCAGATGGCTGGTTCCCTCTTGATATTCAGGTCATTGTTCAGATGCTCTGTTTGAACTGACACTTTCTTCTCTCTACTCTGGAGTCCTTCCTATCTCCCTTTTCCTGCTTTATTTTCCTGTACAACATGAATTAAACTGCAATTCTTGTTTGTTTCGGGTCTGTCTCCTCTGCTAAAATACATATACCATGAGGACAGGAGCTATTTTGTCTATCCAAGTGCCCAAGAAGGTAAGGAAAGAAGTGAGTGAAGAGAGGAAGGGTAGAATGAAAAAAGAAGAGAGGAAAGGAGGGAGAAAAGAAAGAAAGGAAGAAGGGAAGGAGGAAGAGAGGGAAAGAGGAAGGGAGAAAAGAAGGAAGTCAGTGAAGATCACCCAAATGAGAACAAGCAGAGGCTATTTATTCAAAGCTTATGTAGCAAGGGAGTCAATCAGCAGTCCTTGCATTTGGCAAAGACTCAAAGGCAGATAGGGGAGTGGGGAAGCTTCAGATGTGCACTGATAAGAGGGTGTTGGCAGGGGGAAACTACAGGACTTAACTAGACTGCAGTTGGGAAAGCATATTTGGCATTCTCTGGTGTTCTTAAATTGGAAATGAGGGGAGACATTAATTGATTAATTATTTAATTAGGGAAGCTGGCAGTGTTGACAAAGTTCTAACGATTTTTGGTCATTTGCCAAAGAGGTTGTAGTTTGGTTTCTTATCCTGGTTGCTGCAGATTATGGGTCCATGTTCTGTTTTTATATATTGTCTGGCTATTATCTGAATATTCATTGTAACAGAAGGAAAGGAAGAAGGTAGAGAAGGAAGGAGAAGAGATAAACGTGCTGGTAAATACAGGAAGCTAGGAAGATACTTCTGTCCCCTCCCTCAATACACACACCCTCTCCATTTCACTGAGGCAGGGACTCAACTGACTTTCTCTGGACCCTATCTGTACAGGTCTTCTATTCTAGTGTCTCATCAATCCCTTTTTGTTGTTGCTGCAATTCCTGGGATCATGAGACCCTGTGGTCTTGTCTTCTTGTTTAAAGGAACATGTAGAATCAAGAAGTTTAGCCCAGGCTTACACCAGACCAGTCTTCCTCTGATTACACCCTGGATGCCTAGCCCCCAAAGCTACCTGCCATGGTGAAAATGGAGCCTTTTTACTCACTTTATCCAGGACTTACCCTCTGTCACTCAATCCTGTACAAACCAGGACTGGCCAACCTAACCAGCTTTATCTTGTCCACACTGGCCTTGTTTGAGAGTAGAGCAGAAGTAGGGCACAGCTGGATGGAAACATGGGAAGCAGACCCTCAGTTATTTGCTGTGGAGTGGTAGGGACAGCGGAGTTGAGAGCAAGATGGGAAGGAATAGTCAGTACCCAAATTCCTCCTGTCTTGGCATGAAGTCACATCTCTCACAAGGCAGGTTAGAGGAGATTGTTGGGCACAGTATGTTTGTAGGTGCATGTGAAGATTAGACTGCAGTTTCCCTAAGTGTAAAAAAACTACTTTTTAGGACTGCATGTAAGAATTATACAGGTGACCCTGTGTAAAGGGTTCTGAATAGAATCTGTAGGTGAGGAATGGCACTAAGTGTTAGCTGTTGTCCTTGTTATCAGGACTGAGGAGCACATTCTGAGCGCCATCTTCAGAGCTCTGTGTGCCAGGCAGACCCTCAGCAGCCCCCTGAGTGTACATCTGTGCTCTGCCATTCTGTCCTGTCCGTTTCAACCCCTCACTGCCTCTGAGCTCGGAGCAAAGGGTCACACACCGCCCCCTCCCCATCCAAGCATTCTGACTTGCCTTCTCTCCTTGTACACATCACAGGAGTACCTGATAAAGGTGGGCAACCTGAGCCGTGGAGCTGTGCAGATGATTGGGGACCTGCTGAACGCAGACGCTGGCTACTATGAGGCCTTCACAGAGACCCTGCGTGCTGTCATCTCCTTCAACCAGGAGCCCCGGTGGGAATGTGGGAATGGGTGGTGGGAGTAAGAATGGGCATGGTTTGGTCAGTTACTAACCAGAGCAGTGATGTTGGTGGTGGTGGTAAGTGCTGTCAAGTTGGTTCCAATGCATGTCAACGCTGTATAGGGTTTCCAAGGAGTGGCTGGTGGGTTTGAACCACCAACTTTACGGATAGTAACCCAGTGCTTATCCTACAGCACCGTACCAGGAACAGTATTGTTGTTGATGATAAGTGCCGTTGAGTCAGGAACAGTGATTGTTGTTATGAAGTGCCATCAAGTCAGTTCTGACCCATAGCGACCCTTTATAGGGTTTCCAAGGAGCAGCTGGTAAGCTTAAACCACCAACCTTGCAGCTCAAACAGCTTCGAAGTATGGTGCATTAACCCACAGCAACACACCAGGACTCCAGGGACAGTGATGTTGTTGTTGTTGTTGTTGTTGTTATGTGGCGTGGAGTCGGTTCCGACTCATAGCAACCCTGTACAGGGTTTCTTAGGCTGTAAATCTTTATGGGAGCAGAAAACCTCATCTTTCTCCTGCGGAACTGTTGTTAGTTTCAAACTGCTGACCTTGCGGTTCGCAGCCTGATTTATAACCGCTACGCTACCAGAGCTCCTAGGGACAGTGATAGGACTAGGTAAAATTTGATGAGGATCTCAAAGGAAACGGAGACTGGCAGGCAGAGGTTTTCAAACACCACTGTACATCAGAATCACTCAGGAGCTTATGATTCTAATTTCAAAGATCTGGGCTGGGCCTGAAAATTCACATTTCTAACACTTGATGGGGGGCATTGCTGCTGCCTGTCTGGAAATCCCAGTTTGCATACCCTTGACTATTCCATCAGGAGGCTGGGAACATTCTTAGCTATGGGCCTCACCTACTCTCCTGTTATATAAAATGTGGCTGTAGCTCTGCTCCAGGGTCTTTGGAGGGGGTCTTACTGTCTTTCAGTGCAGGAAGATGTATAAGAGGCACTCATACAGAACCCCCAGTCACCAAACCACAGGCCACATGTTCTGGAGCTACAAAGGCACAACACACTGCAATATACTCTTACCTGGGGATCATAAGAACAACTCAAACAGCTGTAGACATTTAGAAGGCAAATTGGAGCTGCCAGCTCTGATAGCCTGAGGGGCTAACTCAAGTAGTTATTTTTTGGTCCTCTTTTGCCCATGTAGTGTCCCCCTCAACTTCCACCCAGCATTTTTATTCAGGGTTAAACTAGTTGTGCTACAATCAACTTCAACTCATGGCCACACCATATCTGTCAAAACAGAACTGTACTCCACAGACTTTTCAATGGATAATTTTTCAAAAGTAGATCTCCAGGCCTTTCTTCTGAGGCACCTCTGGTTGAACTGGAATCATCAGATAGCAGCCATGCTCCTTAACTGTTCTTACCTACCATAGACTCATTCAGGTTAAGTCAGTAAGCCAGCTTGAACAGAGAATGAAAGGGATCGATAACCCCAAAACAGACAAGTTGGAAACCAACAGAACTAAGCCCTATCTGTGCTCCCAGAATAGTATGCAAAAAGGGCTGAGAGTGCTCACATAGCCTGTGTAGTTGGAGTGGAGGGGACCACTCACTGGGGCAAGAAAGGAGTGATTGAGACTCAATCCACAGTCCCAGCTTGCACTGTCTTGTAAGGGGCTGCGCTGTTGTTAGTTGCCACTGAGTCAATTCTGACTCAATGCAGAGGAAAACTGAGTTCCACAGAGTTTGCAAGGCTGTGAATTTCATAAGCAAACCACCAGAACTGTCTTTCAAAGCTCCTCTGGGTGGGTTCAAACCACAAACTTTTTAGCTAGTAGTTAAGCATTTATCCACTTGTACCCTCTCCCCAGAAACTCCTGGCAAAGGGCTGCACCCATACAGAAATCAAAAAAAAACAAATCAATGGAATTGAATTCAATGTATGGAAACCCCATGTGTGTTAGAATAAAACTGTGTCCCATATTATTTTCAATAACCGATTTTTTGGAAGTTGATTGCCAAATCTTCCTTCCAAGGTACCTCCAAGTGAACTCAAACCGCTAACTTTCCTGTTAGCAGCTAAAGTATCAGTCTGTACTAACCAGGGATTCCTAAAAGGGATACTTTTCAGTAGTCTTCAATAGCTAACTGTCATTTTGCCTAGTAAGCCCTCCTACCAACTGCTTTGCCTCTCTAGCACACAGGGCCAGAGCATGTCTACTATAGAATCAGACCTTTGCCCTGTTCAAATGGCCTACCCCCAACATGACCTTATACATGGAAACTTTCTCTCAACCTCCTCTGCCTGCTTATTCTCAGGTTTGACGAAATCGTTGGAGGCTTTGATCAACTCCCCAGGGCCCTTCACGATGCCCTCTTGCCTGGAACAGTGCAGCTCCACTCACCAGCAGAGGAAGTGGAGACTTCTGGTAGCCTCGTCCACGTCACCTACCAGACATCTGACCCACTTCGGCCCAGAGAGCGTTTGACTGCAGATTACGTGATTGTGGCCAGCACTGCCAAGGCTGCCCGGCTCCTCCGTTTCCGGCCACCCCTCTCTCCTGGCAAGGAGGATGCTCTGCGTTCCGTCCACTACAACAGTGCCACCAAAGTGATCTTGGCCTGCACACAGCGTTTCTGGGAGGAGGATGGCATCTTTGGATGTAAGTCCATCACCGACCGGCCTTCCCGCTTCATATATTATCCCAACCACGTCTTCCCCAATGGCACAGGAGTCATCCTAGCATCCTATACCTTGGATGACGACTCCTCATTCTTTACTGCCATGAATCATGCCCGGGTAGTGGACGTTGTCCTCGATGACCTAGCCGCAGTCCATGACCGCTCCAAGGAGGAGATCAGGGCTCTATGTCCCTACTCCAAAGTCAAGCACTGGAGCCAAGACCCCTATTCCATGGGAGGCTTTGTCTTCTTCACACCCTACCAGTACGTGGACTATGCCCAGGAACTCTGCCGGCCAGAAGGACGAGTACACTTTGCTGGTGAGCACACAACCCTGCCCCATGGCTGGATTGACACAGCCATTAAATCAGGGCTCAGGGCTGCACTGAGCATCCAAGAGGCTGTGGGCTTGGGCTGGGGCTTGACTAAGAGCCCTAGAGACCAGAAAAAGCACCACTCCAAAAGTGAGCTATAGCTAACTTCAAATTACCTAGAAATTAGAGAATTAGAGTGATTCCAATTACTTTGGCTCACCAGGAAAATGCCAAAAACCCAGTGTCACACGTTGTCTCCTTTGCCTAAAGATGCCAGGCCAAGAGAAGTCATTTAAGGCAAGGAAACAAAGTGACCCTAATATTAGGCATAAAAGCTATCATACCCATGACCTAGGCTTTGTGAGCAATGTCTCAACACTATCAGCAACAGCATGTGATACAGTGATTAAAACAACAAAGTATTCATTGAATTTAAGGCTGTCACTAAGTGCTTTATCTACATTTTGTGGGACACCAAATAATTACAGAGTGTAGAGGTCTGCTTCCCAAGGGCCTCATCTGGGGTCCTTCACTCTTCTATTATTCCTGTAATCTGAGTTTGCCAATAGCTTCCTTCCCCTCCTCCACTTTTCTACCTTGTGTGACTATGGATTTTAAGATAAGAAACTCAAGTTGTTAAGTGGAAGCAACTTCATGAACAACAACATGCTAGATTCTATTCCATGTCATAGCAATAACACTGATGTACCTATTCTAATGTTACATATTACAGAATCCATTTTACAGATGAGAAAGGCTGATTTTCAAAGAGGTTTAGTAACATGCCTGAGGTCACGAATGCTGGTAAAGAATAGTTCAAGCCTAAACCATCTGACTCACATCCTCTTGCTCCTTCTATGCCCAGTGGCTCTGTCTTATTTTGTGTGTGTATTCCTGAAATAATTAGCAATAACCTTTGGTGACATTCAACAATAAACATGTTGAAGGCTTGAATGAGTAAAACTTCCCAGAACGCACAGGCCAAGGTTGTATGGTCTGCCTCATAACCTGTCTCAGTTTTCCTTGCCTGGCAACCCTGAAAGATAAAGAAACAGACAGATGGCATTTATACTGATATGGAAGAGGTCTTTCAAGCAGACAGATACAGAGATGGCTGTGCTGACAGATAAATTCTAGAAAGGCCCATCATTTCGCAGTGACCTGGCATGAATTTGGTCCCTAAGGGGTCATTTAGGAGTGAGCAATCACCTAGAGGCCATAGGAAGGAGTCAGGTAGCTATAAAGTAAGGGGGAAGTTCATTACCACAAAGCAACAAAGTACCTTCAAAAGATCGTGCCATATTCTTTGGAACCTGAAGGCTGAGACAGAACGGCACACTATCCAGAAACCCCACTCTGTCAGAATCTGAGAATTGGTTCTACATGAAAGCTAGTCAATTAGCCCATCACAGTTTAATGGAAGCTTGCAAACAATATAAAACTCGTGGGTAAGTTGATCCTTTCAATATATCCATTTCTGAATATCTCCAACGGCTAATTATTTCAGGAATACAAAGGTTCTGAGACAAAGGACTTTAGCATTAATGGCCCACCAAGTCTCAAATGGGCTGAACAGAGGCACCCAAGTGGACATTATGTATGCAGTGGGCTTTCATCACAGCCAAGGAACATTTTTTTCAGAGCATTTGCCAGGCTTGCTTTATGTTTGTTGGGGAAGACAATATTTCATCTCTCAACATTTTTAGCTGAAACACAACCATGAGAAATGGTCCAGACAGAGTGGTCAGGGTCTTACATTCTTAGCACTGCTAGCAGGAATGTGTAGGAATACTCAGTACAGATGGTAGATTGCTTCTTCCAACATTGTCTAACCCAGATCCCAACTGCCTCCCTATTAGCTGTTCTCCACTGAAGTCCAGTCGCTCAAAGCAATTAACAGCCCCATTCTCATATTAGATCACACTATGCACATGGCATTCAGCAGAATCACTAGGAAGGCATGGAGTGTAGACTATGACATCAAAAGGACTGTCTAAAATTTTTGTACAGTGATGCAGAAGAAATTTATTGTTTTTATAAAAATATCACTGTACCTTCTGCCACAGCAGCCATTGAAGAAAAGCAGCAATGTCTGTGCACTACCCTATGGCTGTTGACAACAACAAGGGCCACAAAGTAACCTAGAACAGGAGCAAGTCAAGGCATAGCCACCACGTGGGTGCCTCAGCAAGCACACCAAGTTCATGAGGGACATGATCCAGGAGGTGTGTGGCTTTGGGCCTTATGAGCACTGGGCCATGGAGCTGCTCCAGGTGTCCAAGGACAAGAGGGCACTCAAGTTCATCAAGAAAAAGGTGGGGACACACATCCATGCCTAGAGGAAGGGAGAGGAGCTCAGCAATGTCCTGGCCTCCATGAGGAAAGCAGCTACAAAGAGGGACTGAGCAGGTCCTTGTTTGCTGTACCCTCCCTTCCCCCACCCCCAAACAAAAACCTTTACAGAAAAAAAAAGATAGATAGATATCTTTTAAAAAGGTATCCATATATATCTCTGTAGGAGCAAAATGACAAAAACTTCTTAGATATTATCAAACATTTTAAGGCAATGTGTTTCTGGGCCTGGGGGCTCAGGACCATAGTCTCACGGGACACCACAGTCAATTGGCATAACATAGTCCACAAAGACAATGCTCTACTTCCTAATTCAATTAGTGGTGACTGAGATCTTAAAAGCTCATAAGCAGCCATCTAAGGTGCAACTATTGGTCTCTCCATGTGCAGAAGAAAGAAGGCTGATTAAAACTGCAAATGCTTGGAATCAACTAGCCCAATGGGCCAACTGTTGTTGCTGTTGTTGTTAAGTGCTGTTGAGGCGGTTCTGACCCAGAGCAAGCCTGTATAGGGTTTCTGAGGAATAGCTGGTGAACTTGAACCACCAACCTTGCGGTTCAAACCAACTTTGCAATCCAGTGCATTAACCCACAGTGCCACACCAGAACTCCCAATGGGTCAATAGAGCAGATGAATATCAATCAACATGGCTCTAAGACCAGAGTTAGATGGTGCAGAGATAACACTATTGACAGCTCTGAAAGAGATCACATTAGAAGGTCCCAAATAAAGTTGTTGTCATTATTGTTAGGTGCCATCGAGTCGGTACTGACTCATAGCGACCTTATGCACAGCAGAATGAAACACTGCCGATCCTGGGCCAACCTCACTACTGTTGTCATGCTTGAATCCATCGATGCTGCCCCTTGGCCAATCCATCTCAACACTCAAGAAGCAGCAGTCAAGAAATCAAATGGCATTGCATTAGGCAAATCTGTTGCACAAGACCTTTTTAAAGTGTTGAAGAGCAAAGATGTCAGCTTGAGGACTAAGGTGTGCCTGACCCAGGCCATGGTATTTTCAGTAACCTCATATGCATGCAAAAGCTGGACAGTGAATAAGGAAGACAGTAGAAGAATTGATGCCTTTGAGTTATGGTGTTGGAGAAAAATATTGAAAGTGCCATGGACTGCCAAAAGAACCAATAGATCTGTTTTGCAAGAAGTGCAGCCAGAATTCTTCTTGGAGGCCAGGATGGCCAAACTTCATCTCTCATACTTCAGACATATTGTCAGGAGGGAGCAGTTGCTGGAGAAGGATAACATGTTTGTTAAGGTGGAGGGTCAGAGAAAAAGAGGAAGACCCCAACAAGATGGATTGGCCAAGTGGCAGCATCGATGGACTCAAGCGTGACAACAGTAGTAAAGTTAGCCCAGGATCAGGCAGTGTTTTGTTCTGCTGTGCATAAGGTCGCTATGAATTGGTACCGACTCGATGGCACCTAACAATAACAACAACAACAACAACAGTTAGATGTCATTGCTGATGTAGGATGGATCTTGGCTGAAAGTAGAGAATACCAGAAAGATGTTTACCTGTGCTTTATTGACTATACAAAGGCTTTTGATTGTGTGGATCTTGACAAGCTATGGACAACATTGCAAAGTATGAGTACTCTGGAACACTTAATTATGCTCACGAGGAATCTGTACCTGGACCAAGAGGCAGTTGTTCAAACAGAACTTGGGAACACTGAATGGTTTAAAATTAAAAAAGGTATGTGACAGGGTTGTGTTCTTTCACCATACTTATTCAACCTGTATGCTGAGCAAATAATCTGAGAAGCTGGTTTATTTGATGAAAAACGTGGCATCAGAATTGGAGGAAGACTCATTAACAACCTGCAATATGCAAATGATACAACCTTGCTTGCTGAAAGTGAAGAAGACAAAATATTTACAAATGAAGATCAAAGAGAATGGCCCTCAGAATGGATTGCATCTCAATGTAAAGAAAACAAAAATCCTCACCACTGGACCAATAAACAACATTCTTATCAACAGAAAAGAGATTGAAGTTGTCAAGGACTTCATTCTTCTTGGATCAACTATCAACACTCATGGAAGCAGCAGTCAAGAAATCAAATGACATATTGCATTAGGCAAACCTGCTGCATAAGACCTTTTTAAAGTGTTGAAAAGCAAAGATATCAGCTTGAAGAATAAGGTGTGCCTGACCCAAGCCCTGGTATTTTCAGTAAACTCATATGCATGTGAAAACTGGACAGCAAATAAGCAAGACCTTAGAAGAATTGATGATTTTGAGTTACGATATTGGAGGAGAAAATTGAAAGTGCCATGGTCTGCCAAAAGAACAAACAGAACTGTGTTGGAAGAAGTGCAGCCAGAGTGCTCCTTGGAGTCCAGGATGGCCAAACTTCATCTCTCATACTTTAGACATATTGTCAGGAGGAACCAGTCTCTGGATAAGGATACCATGTTTGGTAAGGTGGAGGGTCAGAGAAAAAGTGGAACACCCCCAGCGTGATGGATTGGCATAGTGGCAGCATCAATGGGATCAAGTGTGGCAACAGTAGTGAGGTTTTCCCAGAATCGGGCAGTGTTTCATTCTGCTGTGCATAAGGTCTCTATGAGTTGGTACTGACTCGATGGCACCTAACAACAACAGCTAGTTATAACAATAAAAATATTTTTTATCAGCCCATATCAATATGAATACAAGGTTAAAAATATGTGCTAATTTACTTTTCAAACCATGTTATGTACTGTGGAGCTTTGCATATTGGTATGATGTTAGAATCTACGCCACCAGAATTTCTGATACCAGCAGGATCATCCATGGTGGACAG